AAAAAGAAGAGAGAAAGGGGAGCAAGAGACTGATGCTGACTGTTAACCTCTAGACAGGAATATGGGCACCAAAATGTTCTTTCCACCTTGACGTAATGACCAGTAAAGACCCCACTCCTCCCTCTCTGCTTGTGGATTTGAAATAGAGGCTAAACTGTTGGAGTGCTTATTAAAGTACAGCGTGTTCTTGGCACTAAAAGTGGCAAACCTTGTATAAATGTGTCCCAAACATAACAAAAATTGAGTCCTGCTGATGAATAGTTTTTGGTGCAGAGGTGTCTAAATGTTTTTAAAGGGGACACATTTGTGAGAAGAAGCCCATACTTACTGATTTAACTGGTCTATGGGAATAATAATTTGGCATTTTCAAATACTTACAAGTAAAGGGTCTAGAGAAATAGAAGACATCAATAGCATAATTTATTTTACATCCAAGTAAACCAATTCATTTTACAAAATGTTCACTATAATTTACCAATGTATTTAAAGCGTAGTTACAAGTGAAGATGTAACCCCATATACTCTTGCTCTCTTACTCACTATCACTATGTCACTATAATTACTATATCATTTTGACAGATGAAACTATTATATTTTGGGGTCTTTGTACTATTGAGACATTTTTGGACATTTTTTTCCTGCAAAGTTATAAGATTTGAGGTTGAATTATGAATTAAAATCATAAACTTTCTGCTAGATATTTATAGTAGCTCAATATAAGATTTCACAATTTTGAATACTTTTGCATTTAGAATACATTTTGGGGATAATCTTGCTTCATGGTTTAGTTTCAATATCATCATTTAATGTCTATATTTACTTCAGCAATATACAACACTTCTCTTTACACGCTATAACGCTCCTAAGCGTTGAAAAGTATTGAAAGTAAAAACAAAAAACAGAATGCTACATAAGGTAGATGGTTTGATGCGGGGACACTTTTTTACAGAAAAATATGTCCTAAATTTAGTGTGACATGACATTTACTACTGAGATTGCCAACCTTATGCCAGATTTGATGTGAAAGATGTTGAGGAAATGGACTGAAATCTAAGCTGAGGGCTAAAAACTTCCTTTGTGTAGAATCAAAGCCATGGATATTACTGCTCGACATGTTGCCAGTTTAAACTGTTGTTATTCCATGGTATATTTACAGAATCTGCCCCCATCTTAATTCATGCATAAATTGACATAAATGTTAGGTAATATTTAATCTGTCAATCAATACAAAGCAATAACAAGTATAGCTGCAATTTTAATCTAGCTACCGGGAAACATCTGATTCTATGCATAACATTTACATACAAAATGAGTGCATATTTTTTTGTTTTTTTTTTAAGCAAATGCACAGAGAGGAAGCATACCCGCACCAGCTATGAGTCAACAGTGAGAGGCAGAGCTGTGTGCCAGGGTCTTAATATCTTCCTGGGTGTAATCTACCTCCGGCGGCTCCAAGCACATTCATTTAGAAACTCGACAGATCCTCACTCTTAAAATGTCTTTCCTTCTGCCTCAAACACCTCAACTGCCTCTCTTTCCAGTCTAGCTAAAATTGTATGTAACGGTCCTATACTTAGAAAGATACAAGTCAATATGGGGAGGCAGGGGATTTCAAGGGTGCATTAGATGTATTTGCATTCATGTCATACGCCCACAGAACTGCCCTACTTAAAGCCCATGAAGCTAATTGTTTAGTAGTCTATAGTTCATATATTATACATGGATCTGTCTGGATGACTGCATTTATCGATTGTTTTATGCTTAAGCTGTTTTTCAAATGCACTTGATCTAGTACAACACTGTAACCTCATGCTGGCCATTGGTGGTAAAGTGATGATGATACCAAGAATACTTTTTCATTTGGTGAAATTCAGAATACAGTTACTTTTCCAAAATCAAAGAAATACTTGCAGGTACTTCAACACACAATTTAGGCTTTGCATGGTATTAATGACAAACCCACTCTTACAATGTGTGTGTGTGTGTGTGCAATGTTTACTTAGACATAAATTAAACAAAAACAACAACAACAATCAAGTAGTTTGTAATTATATGACATGTTTAACACTATAATATGATGTGACTTGATTTAAAAGTATTCATAGTATTCAGAATACAGTACCCTAATTGAACCATGTAACCGAACATGTTACAAAATATATTTTAATGCAGATATTTGGTATTTTGTAACTAAATGCATTTCCAAAGTATCCTTCCTATCAGAAACATCACTTTAAGCACCCATTTCAAGTTATTTGTTTAACCATATATTTTTGCAGCTTGTTATTATAGAAAATATAATAGTAGTATGATGATATACTGCCTCTCACCATTTCACCAAAACTCTAAGGACATTTTTGTTGGATGGTGCCACATTTGCCGTCACTTCCCTATGTAGATTACCTGTTGTCAGGACAGCAGAGTTCCTTCTACAGACCACATTTGAAGAATATTGAACAGAAACACTCAAAAAGAGCAGCACTTTCCAAGATGGCCCCTTTCATCTAAGTCACGATCTGCACATTTTTTACATTGTTCCCACTTCAAACTCGAAGACAAAATGTTCACATTCAAGTGAATACGACCCACAATGGAGATGTCAGATAGTGCTTGACAAGTGAAAATGCTCTCTGCAGAGTAAATCATGAAAAACATTATTATTTCTCAGCTCTGCCCTGAATCCTCCTCTTCTTCTCCCCTTCTGTTCTATGCGAAGAACACTACCCCGAGAAAGATACGACTATTACTGCTTCTATCACCAGCACCTGTCTATTCTTCTAGCAATTGCTGGAGTAAGTGCTTCTTTGTAGTCTGAATCTTACTCCCTACAGTGCCCACAGTATTTAGGTGAACGTAAAAGACCTTCAGAGGATGAGTCGAGGACGCCCCCTGCTGGAAAACCTTGATATGGCCCAAACGCACGCATAACTCCACGGGGATCCGTCTGTCTCTGTCTGTGCATGATCAAGTACAGTCTATTAAGGTTGTACATCACTGTGACATCCACACGATAGAGCCATAAAGTCCCAACCACACACATACTTATGCACTTCATCAGCTGAGAGCAAACTCCAGACAGGGCCAGATATCCATCTTTAACCAAGCATAGAGTGTCTGTTAATAAAAACTACTTACAGAAATTATGTTTTTTTTAACATGTTTCCATTATTGTAAATACATTCCAAGTTCGGTCTATGTTATTCCCAATGGACATTTTTAATTTAGTGAGATTCTACCATTTGAACTTAAGTTTTACCAGTCTAGCCACGCACAATTTAACAAATGAAAAAGCAGAGCCGCCTGTAACATGTATTTTGCCCAAACAGATGATACCGCTCGGTGCCCTTTGCCGGGCCAGCGTTCAGTCACAAAAATGGAAGAATGGCCCTGTGTCAGTACCAAACCACAATTACAAAGCAGATGTTTCGCCCTGACAGAAAACTCGGGGCACTTATACATAATGGAAAAGTAGCATGGAGTGGCCCTGTGTTAAAGCTTGAGTTTCAGCCAGGCGCCTAAAACTGTCTGTAATGTTTCTGTTTATTTAGATACTGAAGCTCTGTGAATGAGAATTAAAGAAGGATATGAACATAAATATGAAATTACACTCAACTGTTATTGTAAGGATGATCTTATTTTTCAGGATGATGGGTGATTCACAGAAGCAAAACATTATTTTATTAGTAAGAAACATACCACAATTTCTTCCTATAACCATTAGGCTATTTTCTAAATCTGTGAAAAGTCATACTGACTGGACAGTTCCAGCTAAAATCATTAAAATAAACTTCATGCCTTTTCTAGTCATAACAGCCATCTGTGGGCCACAGATGACTTGACCTCTGACCCCATAAAAGCACAAAAGGTCAGGGCACAGGTCAACACACCCCTCCTCAACAGGACTTTTACGTTTTCTGAGGTTTGAGTTTGGGTTAGTTTACTTTTAGATGCTTCATTGGGAGATGCACTAGGGGGAGCCAAATGGACATTACCAACACCAAACATAAGAATATGTGTATTCACATCATTTCAGATCCAGTCAGTCCATGACAGTGAAGAAGGAAAAAATTACCAAGTGGAACTCATCCTTCTCAAACAAACAGGACTGAGGCAGGACACAGAAGTGAGCTGGCTCTGTCTCCCCTGCCGCACTGCTATAATTAACTTGTGTGACTGAAGGGTTACTGTAATCACAACTGAGTATACAGTTATAATATCATAATAGCACGTCACAGATGCTATAGCGGTTGCAACACGTCAATTTGCAGATTATTTTCTATACGTGCCTGTAGCCTACAGAGTGGTTCAATGGGACTTCAATAGGCTACATGATGGAGCACCTTGTGTTTAGAAAACTACAGACATCACACGAACCATTTAGAGCTTTCTTTGTCTCTTCTTTTCTCTGTACAACCAATTTATTTAGAAAAAATCTACAGCAGTGACGTTCTACTTGACAAGTATAAATAATATTGATAGATAGGCCTACATGAACTTGCAAGACAATAACGTCCCTGTCCCCTATATTCTAAACCTTAAATCTTATCTTATCTGACTTAAATATAAATACACTAATCAGCTGTGGATCACAATAGCCTACATGATGTGTAAAACAGTGCAAACTTTGGAATAGCGCCTGCTGTAGGCTATACCATACTTATATTCTATCTAAAATGCCCATAGCCAACAAAAAGGTCAGCTCTGCAGAGTGAATAGGTGACATACACTGTGTGGACTGAAATTCAGTACCCAACCCAAGTAAACACAGCAACCTACCGCGAAAATATTAGCGTTTAACTGCTAATTGTTTTCAACTTTGCAGCATCAGCTCTACCTTTCCCAGCAGCAGGAGCAGGGGCAGGAGCCCCTCTGCAGGGCGGAGGGGAGGAGGCTTTGGAGTGTCCCCACACACCTCCTCCCTCGTACCTTACTTCCTCTGCTCTCCCCCGCCTCTCGCTCACTCCTCGCTCCTCTGGTTTGTCGCTCGGTCGCGGGACTTCGGGTCCGGGCTGTGGACGCAGTGAAGATGCGGGGTGTGGAGGGCTCCGTGGGGTTGGGGCTCTTGTCCCTCGTGGTGGTTCTGCTGTGGGCTCGCGTGGCGCACTCGGAGCTGGTCACGCTGGTGCAGGAGCCGGTGAGGACCGAGTCGTCGCTGCAGAAGCCAAAGGTTATGATCGCCATCGTGGCCAGGAACGCCGCGCACAGCCTGCCACACTACCTGGGCTGCGTGGAGAGGTTGGACTATCCCAAGGACCGCATCGCCATCTGGTGAGGCTCCCCGCTTTGAAGTTTAAGTGTAGTTTGTAGTTTGAAGTTGTAGTAAAGACACCGTCACGCATTTCTGCAAGTGCACTGATGGTCCATTGGATCATTTTATAGCAAACATCGTTCCCACATGACAGTGTTATTCATTTGCATCTAGATAATGGAACTGGACATCAGGTACGCTGCTTATTAACTACCCTAAAACTTCAAATAACAAAGCTATTATTCCACATAGTCCAAAATGTTGGTCAGATGAGCTCTATCAGTGAACCTGTCAATGAATTTGAGTTCATAACAAATTCAAATCCACTTTATTTCTACAGCACATTTTACAAACAAAGCGGTTTCCAAAGTGCTGACAACTAAAAGGTAAATGGCTGAAATTTGGTCATACCAGTCCTAAAACAATAAAAGCAATAAAGTCAAAATAAAAGCAAAAACCATAAAAATCATAAAATATCAGTTAATAAGTAAAATAAATTACTACAAATAAACACATCAAAGTTGATCATCTCATAGACCTTTGGAGAAGCATTTACCCACTACCAAATACAACCACTACCAATTCAGTACTGACAGAAAAGGATTTTGTTGCACATTTTTCATTTCAATGTTGAAAAATGTGCTGTTCATTTGTAAATAGTAAACTGGCCCAGATAGAAAAAAACTGCCCCAAAACATATCTTTGTCATTAAAACTTGGACAAATGCTTCAAAATGTTCTCTGCTTATGTTGATATAGTGAGGTGACTCTGCAGGCCAGCCGTGCACATCAAATTATAAAGTGCTGACTCAACTCAAGTGACCTTTACAGAAACTTCATACAACAGTCCTCTCTGTGTAACATGCCTTCATTCCGATTCAGGATTAGTCTAAGTGAAATTAATATCTAACAACGCACCTGGATTCTCATCATTAGGTTTGTGTACAACAGTTTAATAGTCTTGCTCACTGTAGTGTGGTCTTCAGTGGAGCGTGCTTTAATGAAAAGCAGTGTGTGTAAGCTCATATTCTAATAACACATTATCAGGGACCTGTTGCTGTGTCTTTACGACATGCTTGGCTAAATTGCATGTTTTGGGGGCACATCAAAGGGCTTCTGTGCACATATACAGTATAGTGAGAGGCTTTTTTGTGTATAATCACAGCTTGCTCAAGTCTGATTCAGCACAAAGATGAGGAAAAAGAGCTTGTAAAACAGCAGGTAAAAAAGACGCAGGTAGTGCTGTGTTTGCAGTTAAAGATTATGTGGAGTTGTCAGGAGGTGGAGAGATGAGATGAAAGGAAGGAGTTATCCGACAGAAGCTTGGGTTTCTGGGTACTTAAAACAAAGAGTGCCCTCCTCTGTAGGACTGTGAGTAAAAACATAATGTTGTAGTGATTTGCTCTTTAAGTTTTTGACCCAGGATCATCACAACAGCCCAGCTAATGCACCGATTGATTTAATATTATGCCAGATGCCCTTCCTGACACAACCATCTGCAGGTGTGGATCCAGCAGAAAGAGAGCATGGTCTTATAACCTCTTTTAGCTGGAATTATAATTACACTGAGATGAGTGAGTTTTATGTTATCATGTAAAAAACCTGCATGTCAAATTGGGGTAAAATTTAAACTATACTTTGCTTTTAAAATTACTAACATAGGAATAGTGTACCATATTGATTTTAAAATTCATTTGCTCAAATAACATTACATTTTGAATCTTTTTAAAGTGTACATACTCTGTAGGGTGAGATGTTACTGCAGATGAAGGATGACATTGAGCTTATCTGACAGCGGCATTGAATTCTGGGAAGTCATGTGGAAAAGAATGGCTGCCTTTAGACACATTGCATACTGCAGATAAAAATGCATGAATGCAGTCTACATAGCAGAGGTATGTGCTGGTGAATATTTGCCCACCCTTATCCATCATTCACTTCCTTTTGTTTTTTTCCCCACCCTTTCTTGCTTTTGTTTTTGGTGGCCTGTTTCAGATTGTCTGTCCCTCAAACCAGGTCATGTACAAATGTATAGGGGGCACACTGGATATTGAATCCAGACTTGGGCCCCTATGGCAGAACTGAAAGGGGGAGGACTTCAGTAGTTGGTGGTGGTATATCTTCTTTCTGAGGATCATGTACATTATACTACTCTGGTGGCCTGATTGTTTGACTCAGCTGCTTATTAAAGTTATATTGGGTGAGATAATGATGCACTGCTATCTATATTTTTGTAGTGGAAAAAATATATGTTTAATCTGAAGTTTTGTTTTTAAATGTATGATTTAAATACTGCCTACTGCTTATGTGTATGGCATACCATCTTTGCTTATACTAGACTGTAAGTGAATAATTTCCTAAACATAAAACAAAACAAACTTCACTTAACAAATTAATTATGCAAAACCTACAATCTAAAAATGTAATAATCAGTACATTGACAGGCTCATATCATACTAACCCCTCCCAACTGTCTCGCAAATATCAGGATAACCCTAAACCTCCTCATATTCAGTTTTGCAGGTGTGCTCTTATCACACATACCTTCACATACATAATTTAGTGGAAGAATTTTAAGCAGCTAACAGTATCATCCTGCTTTAGAAGTTATTAAAGAGGGTGGGACTGCCTTTGTGGTGATAAATGTTTTTGGTATGATGCAGAAAACAAATCTTGTTAAAGGGAGCATATTATGAAAGTGAACTATTATAAGCTTTTAATCATGTTATAATGGTGTTCCCTCATGATTAAGATGCAAAGTTGTATTTCATTTAATTCGTTCATGTCTGAGTAATCTTGTATTGTCCTGCATTTGAGGCATTTATACATAAGGAGGTAACCAGTATGCATTTTAATATTTTGCACAGATCTGAAAAAAAAAAAAAAAAAAAGGCATTAAACAAAGCTCAAACTTAGATCAAAGTGGCAGTAACTAAAACAGTAAAATCGGACCTCCTTTGTAACTTTATATCAGCCATCCTGTCCGTGGCTCTTTTAAAGTTGTGTAAAGGTTCCTGTGCTCAGGAGGGGATCTGACAGAGGAGTGAGAGAGTGGACTCACAGCACTGTAAAAAATGAAAGAATGCAGGGATTTGAAAAGAGGGGGCTGGTGCAGAGAGAGGTGTGGAAATTACCAGAGGGCACGGTCTGGGACAGGCTGCTTAATCCCCTTTCCCACAGATGCACTGACCACATGGACTGTGTAGCTCTGTGCTCAGGACACTTACATCACTGAACTGTCTGCTACAGTTCAGCACACGTGGTTTGGGTTTTGCCATTTATTTATGGTTGTTATTCACATAGTACTAGTATTAGTTCTCAATTTAAATTCCTCATTAATAGATTTAAATTCCTTCATAATTATATATAAATAAAGATGCACTAACTTTTTTCTGGTTGCCATTCTGTCACCTACTTGTCTCCATGTATTATCCATGTATTTGATTACGTGTTCGTGTGTATGTGTGTGTGTTTTTAATTACTTGAAAAACATTCATACTTATGGGGTTACTTCTCTGCAGATCGAAACAGGCCTGGTAAACTGGCCTTCATAGCTATATTGTGGAATATTCTAAGGAAAACATCTCAATGGAGATAAGCAGGCGGCAAATCCACCAGAATAGTTATGGAAAAACAAGTAATTTACATTGGGTAAAGGTTTTTGGGGGGGTAAGGAATTCGATTTAGGTTTACATTGTGAGATGGATGCGTTTTATCAAGTCTAAGATTAAGTATTTAGTTAACTTTGCTGTAATATTTGCTAATAGTGGCCCTGAATGGAGGATTGTATAGGGAAATCCATAGTGGAAAAGGCTGCATTACACATCTATACTGCCCTGAGGTTAGCCTGACTGAACACGATCGCTCCATTAACTTCATCACTCATCAGCTTTGATCCTGTGCCATTCTACTGCTGAGTTTAGCAATGTGCCGGAGGAGACCCTGTTTTAGGAAAAGAGGATTTCATAATCAGAGCAGTGCGTGTCCCGGGGCTCCTATTGTTTTGCCTCATGCTGTTTATTGCCCTCAGGCTGATCTCATGTGGTACACTGCAGGTGCTTTTATGCCTATTCACAACATTAAGAGATTGATTTATGTCAAGACATTTCCCTGTGTTAACGTCACTTGGCTTTTGACTTTAAATTTCCTTTTTATTCTTTTGCCGACTACTATTTTGTGGGCAGAATTTAGTAAATGCATGTTTTACATTTATTTATCCAAGCCGCAAGATTATATAGCTGTTCTATTGGCCTTTCCATGAAAAGGCATGCGAAAAATTCCCATAAATCCTTAGTGTAGGATGACTTTCTATGAATCACCGATGGCTAAAAACATAAATGACATGTATACACCACTCTGGTGACCAGCTATATAAATCTTGGCAAAAAGAAATTAATATCAGGAACGCCAAGACCACCACAGCACCTATCATTTTCATCTGTTTATGACTTAATGACAAAACCCAGCTGAAATTCACACTTACTTTTTCCTTGTGATTTGATCCATCCTATTAGAAAAAAAACATGGCAAATTGTTATTGATGGTGTGATTTATATGGTGTTTTGCAGCAGCTTGTCTTTTCCTTGCTTTGAGCTGAATTCCTGTCATTTTGAACACAAAAGTTATGGCCTGTGTCTTAAGGCCAAAGTCAATCACACGGACATAGAGCTGTGCCGACAGGAGTCTCTGGTCACAGCATAGACACCCTGTGCACACTGCATATGGGTTGTCAAAAAGAATCAATACCCAGATACTATAATCAAAATTAAGACCAGTATCAAAACTAGATGTATATTTGAATGTCCAGATTGAAAAAAGAATATATATATATATATATATATATATATATATATATATATATATATATATATATATATATATATATATATATATATATATATATATATATATATATATATATATATATATATATATATATATATAAACAGCTAATGTATTAGTATAATTAATAGTAAATAACTATCATATTTTAGTATCCTGACACCATTATAGTATTCTGA